GTGTGGTAAAATATTTAGGCTAAAGCGCCAACTGCAAAAACATAGGACAATTCATACAGGTGAGAAACCATTTAGTTGCTCTGAGTGTGGTAAAAGATTTGGTCAAAAGGAATATCTAAGGTCCCACATGAGGATTCATACAGGAGAGAAACCTTTCACCTGCTCTGAGTGTGGGAAAAGATATCATCATCAGGCTGGATTGCAGGCACATATGAGGAATCACACGGGAGAGAAACCATTCATTTGCTCTGACTGTGGTAAAAGATTTAATCATAAGAGCCGTCTGCAGATACACGAAAGGATTCACACACGAGATCAACCATTTACTTGCTCTGAGTGTGGTCAGAGATTTAGTTACCAGGCCAATCTGGTGGCACATCTGAGAAGTCATACAGGAGAGAAACCATTTAGTTGCTCTGAGTGTGGTCAAAGTTTTAGCCGAAAGGATAGTCTGCAGATACACGTAAGACTTCATACAGGAGAGAAACCGTTCAGTTGCAACATATGCAACAAAAGATTTAGTTGGATTTATCAGCAAAAGAATCATCATTGTGTTGGTGAGACTTCACAGCTTCCTCCGAGTCAGACTGAGGAGAACAGAGAGGACTGTGGAGGACCAGAACCAGCCAGGAACTCAGGTCCAGATTGGCTTTACTGTGTACAAGACTGATGACTCTTCTGTAGCTGAGACTAAAGCCTAGTTTATGCTTCTGCGTCGCGTCGACGCCGTAGCTACGGCAAAAAATCCTAACTATGCGTCGCGTTGACGCGGACCGCAAGCGCTGTGATTGGTCCGCTCAGAACGTAAGTTCCCGCAGTGTCTTTTTCCGGTCTTTCTTCCTCGTCGTAAAAACTACCTCTGCAAACTTCTTCTCTGTCGCCCGCGCTTCAACATTTGCAATATAAGCATTTGTTCTTCAATATTAATGAGCTCAAACAACAAAAACAGCTGCTCCACCTCGGTCGCCATTGTTTACTGTTGTTTACTTTACRGAAGAAAAAGCGAGGATTCGGCTATAACCACACAAACACACAGCCACACCCCCCTAGCGGCATGGCGGTGAATTGCAGAGCAACGCGTTCCTTCGACGCAGAACTTCGAATGCTCAACGACTGCATAAACGAAGCATAAACTAGGCTTAAGAAAGTGAAGTTGGTTAGAAGTAGACAATGGAACCACAGTCTGGTTTAAACACAGACACTTACAAACTTCCTGAAAGTGTTAAGAGATTCTTCGTCCTACAAAATGTATCAACACAACAAAGTGGTGCCCTGTGTGAGGCTGGATACGGTTGATACCTGTTTGCGGTTGTGCAATATTCACCTTCTGGGTCATTGTCTCGAATTTTCCATGTCTTCTTAAATTAGCCTCTTACAGACATTTACTAGCATGATAGCTTTGTGTTTTGGTTTTCACAACAATCTTAGCTTTGTCTACACTGAGGTTTAAATCTGACCCAGAGCATCGTGTACAGAGAGAAATATTGCACTGTGGTTTTTGAATTTCTTTATATCTCTTGTGAAAATACATCTCAACTTGTGTTGATGAATTGTTTTGATGCTTGAAGTCTTTGGATCTTA